AAAAAAAAAAAAAAAAAAAGAGGGAGAGGGAGGGATTCGAACCCACGGATGCTCAGATAGCATACTGTACGATAAATTTGACATTTGACTGTGTACAACGCCTTAGACCACTCGGCCACCTCTCCCTTTGCTTTAGTGTGTCAACGCGCTAATTTCGCTCCCTCAGGCTATTTGTTGTACCATCGGTCATAGTACGGCTGACTAAGTTTCCCGTATTCATTAAGCTCATGGGGAAAATAGCCTTTTTTTCTGTACTCTTGCTTACATGGAAAAAGAAGGTAGCCATAACGCCACTTAAAAGAGTTAATCCATCTCGGGGCACAACGGTGGGCTCGGGGACTTTGCGACGAAAATCAAAAATAATCAAGGAACGAGGGAAATGACTACATCAAACGTAGTCTCAGTGCAGACCTTTCGCTACTCCAAAAAGAAGGCCTAGATCGAACTCTGCCACAGCCAAAGATGCTCGGAAGCCATAGAAGAGAAAAGGAAACTCACCAAGTTACCTATCCTTAGGGGATGTCATTAATGAAAGCTTTAATGCTCATCAGTCATAGCTATTTTTCGATAATTCATTTCGTTGGCTTTGTCTTGCGTGTAATTTCAATCCAATGCTCGTGTTGTACAGATGACAGCGCCGTCTTCAGTCTGGGTGGTCCATAGGTCCAGAAAAGCAACTGCTGCTCCTTGTCCCACTCCCATGTCCCATCGCTCACCCGCACTGTACTGCCTTGCGGTCCGTCGGGGAAATGGATCCGGGGCACATAGATCTCTGTCCGAGTCTCTTTGGCCTTTTTCTGCTTCTCGGCCTCGGATCCCACCGTTGTTGTCGCCGCTGCCGGCGATGGTGCCAGAGTCCACAATCTGAAAACTGGACCACGGCGGTCAAACTCGATCTGGATCGGTCGGCCCACTGTGGCAACCGGATAGGGTCGACAGAACTGTTCTACCGCACGCCCTCCTTTGTCAAAGTCCTGCGGCTTACTTGTTGGAAAGCTGTTATCCTTGGCGACCCTGGAATACAGGCTGAGATTCTCGCCGTTCCAGCCATCGCCGTACTGGAGATCGTTCTCGATTGTGTAGTTCCAGAGCGTGTAGTGGACCAAATTCCTGTCCAGGCCGTCCAAGATGTTGTCAAACGCTTTTTGGAATTGTTTCGTAGGCTTGAAAGGGGCGTCCTTGGCGGTTGTTGTTGAAAACTTGGTGTTGTTGTACTGCCCCGCTTGCTTCTTCTCGCTCAAGCCAACATCAAAGTGGAGCCCTGTCTCACCAATCAGAACCGGTCGATGACCTAGATAACGCATTGTTTTGCGGAGGAAATGTTACTTCTTTGGTCCGATTATAATTAAAAAGATGATCCTCGTCCTTACCCAAACGTTGAGAACACTCCTGCTGAATCTCATGGATCTGGTTCCCGAACAGGGCTTTTGTCTTCTTGGGGCCAAACACAATGGATCCAAAGAGCGAGCTATGCCTTCCGCGACTGAGCCCCAAGAGATCGATATTGATCCAGCCAAGGTATCGCTTTGTCAGCAACACCAAATCGTCGTAGTGATGTGGAGTGTATACCATATTCGTCGTCAAACTGGTATTAAAGCTATGGTCGTGCCGATGGCCCTTGGATTTCTTGCGCTGCAACGCTATCCCTGTTCTTGCTCCCGATCCCGATCCACGCTCGGCAACAGCAGGAAGAGTCCCCTTTGTACTGCTGTGGTGACTACTATGACCGCTCGCATCCTTGCGCTGGAAAATCGGTATAATCCGTCGGCGAGTGGAGCCCTCGTGCGTCTCGACACAGTCATCCTCGTCCCCCTCAATGATCGCAGCCGTTTCTTCATCCACCAGATTCGGTGGAGGCACATAAACTGGCGGCTCCAGGAACAGAATCGCGGAGCGGTGGGTCTTGCGAACAGTATCAATCACCCTTTTTGCAAAGGGCAACCAGTGGTCATGCACCCAGTCGATCGGTCGGGTGTCAGAGACTCCCGGAGTGCGAGGACCCACAAGGAAATAATCCTGCTGGAGTACGGTCCGTTGTTGGATGGACCATACGCCATGTTGTGCCCAGAGACATTTGCCAGCCTGAGGGAATCCAGCGTCCCGTCGGATCCCGTACTTGGCGTCATAAGCATCGCGAAGGTTCTTGGTGAGCCAAGCCTTGATCGCCTTGTCGCTCGAAGACACCACAGAGCCATGCGCAGAAGGATCCAGGGTCCTGGACCCCTTCCTCACAGGCCCTACCAGCTCCAGCCGATAGGTCGCCACATCCTTGACCGCCATACCTTCACCCAGCATCAGCGACTGGAGTGGTGTCGGCATGTCGCCTTGGCGCATATCGTGCTGCTCCGGCAGCACATCCAGTTGCGCCAATCCAATCCAGCCACACGAGGGCTCGTTCCACGAGTCGTAGCCAATGACGACCGAGTCTTCGAGGAGGTGTTTGTTCGTGGCTGGGTCTCGGCAAGCATGGATCCTGTCGACCAGGGCAGCAATGGCGTTCAGGAAATGTTGCTGAAGGTAGTCTTGGATGTTGATGTTGTTGAGGATGCATTTGGGGGCCAGGATCTTGCCTGCATAGAAGAGAGTGAACATGGTGGCACAGGCGAGTTTATAGTAGTTGGTAAGCCAGACCATGCGCAGGAGGGGCTCGTCTGAGGTGACGGTGTTGTGCACGGCGGCAGCGCCCGTGGCGGCAAAGTTATGTGGATCCAGGCCGGCGAGGTGGAAGGTCCACAGCGGGGCTCCTGATCCTCCAGAGAACCTTGACCACTAGAATATAGCGAGTTTTACGCGACCATTAGGCGAAAATGCTCCTGATTTTTTTTTGTCTTGCATCGAACAGATGGGTGCAATCTCAGGGTCCTGGGTACTCACTACATCCTGGTGAAAATCAATCATGACCTTGAACCCGTACTCTTTGGCCTTGAGGAGGGCCTTGACTGTGTAGTCGAGGAACTCTTGGTCATAAATGCCCCTAATGTTCATCGTCAGTTAAATTAGTAATGCCCGGGTTAATGTCACTCTCCCGTTTTCAACCGTTCAACTCTCTCTTCGCCCCTTCTTTCTCCCGCATGATGGGATCACTCCCCTCCCACCCCCACAGCCTTCATTTATGTGTTTGTTCAGGAGAAAAGTAGCACGAGAGTAAACCAAGCAATCCCATCTCCCCCGCCAGAGAAAAAGAAAAGTATATACTTACGGTCCTTGGTGCTCAATGGCTTCCCAGGTGACCACCCACCGAATCATGCGGAACCCCCAGTGCCGAAGCCGGGCCAGGTGCTCATCCGCCTCGTCCAGCTCGAACGGCCGTCCCACGAACGAAATCGGCGTGTCTTCCTCGGTATCGTCGGATTTACCATCCTTTGTCGCTGTATATTGTGAATGGAGATGGTTTGCATCTTCATGCACTCCATCTTTTCCATTCACATCTGAAACTTCTGCTTGTCCATCAACGCAACTTTGTTTTGCCACCAACGTCGAAGGCGACGGAGACGACGATAGCGATGTGGACGGGTGTGGCGGCAGGAAGGAAGTCCCGCCTACATGCGAGGGCTGTGAGACTGGGTGTTTCGGAAACTTGCCCGATCCTGACAGGTTGACGCCGCGCAGAAGCCAAGCGCGGTGGGTGCCCTCTTCGCGTAGGAAGGCGTCGTTGGGCTCTATGCGGAGTCTAGACGAGTGCCGGAGCTTGGAACTGGCCGAGGGCTGTTTTTGTTCGGGAGTTGCGGTCGCTGCATGTTGTGAAGGTGAAGGTGAGGATTGAGGTGCAGGGGAGATTGTAATATTTGCCATGTAGAATTTTAATATTATCAATGGTGAGATTTTTTTTTTTGTTACTGTGACAAGAAAAAATGAAATGCGGATGGGTGGAGGGGTGTGTGGAGAAGTGAAAGGAGTAGAAAAAAAAAGAAAAA